AGGTAAGCCTTATTATAGGTTACCTATAGGTAAAAAAAAAAGGATATAGAGCACTTTTTTGTACACTGGCAAAAGCCAGTTTCGCTAATATAGAGCATTTTTGTACACAGTTTAGGTGAGTTTAGGAGAGTTTAGCATTTTTTCTGCCAGAAAACTCCAATCAAAAACTCAAACCAGAGCTTAAAATATGCCTCTAATCATCCTAATGTGTATGGATACATAGGCTAACACTGAGCTGCTTCTACGGGCAAAACACAAAACTCCTGTAGAAGCAGCAATTTTTAAGTCAGTGTGCATGGAGCCTTATACAGCTTTTCTTCTTATGTCACAAGTTTAAGCACAGCTTGTGCTATTTATTGTTTGTGAGTAGAAAAAAAAAAGTCTGTAGCATAATATGCTGAAATTGAGTCCTCAAAGAATTTAGCCATGCTACAACAAAACTAATGTCCTTACTGTTTAAGGACACTGTAAAAATTAGGAACAAGATTGGTGAAAAGCAAATGTGGTGCCATTATTCAAAAAAGGTCTGAAATAAAAAAGTTGGAAGGAATGGTAAGGGACCATACCCACGAATTTGCAAGTGAAAAGAGATTTATTAGTACTTGTAGTTACCAAAAAGGATTTATGAAGGACCATTCTTGTCAGACCAACCATTTGTCATTATATTAGGACGTAAGCAGTAATTTAAATAGAGGAAGGCACACTGATGTAGTTTTCCTAGATTTTATTAATGCTTTTGATAACGTACCCCACAAATGCTTAAATTACAAATGAAGGTCTAATGGCATTGATGAAATTACATGTACGTGATCGAAAACCCTTTACAGAATTGATTCCAAAGAGTGTTAATACATTTTCTGAATGGTCTAGAGTTGTGGGTGGTGTGTCCCTGGGTTCTGTCCTGGGATTGTTTAACTTGTTCATAAACGATATAGAGATTGGAATAAATAGTTCAATCTAAATGTTTGCTGATGATACAAAGCTAAGCAGGGCAATAATTCTGCATCACGATATAGCAACCTTACAAAAAGACGCTGATAAAATAGAAGAGTGGGCAGCTACATGGCAGATGAGTTTTAATATTGAAAAATGTAAGGTATGCACTTGGGAGCTAAAAATATGAATGCAAGATACTCGTTAAGGGAGAAGCTCTGGGAGAATCAATGATGGAAAAGGATGTGAAGGTACTTGTAGACCACAGGCTCAGCAACAAAATGCAATTTCAAGCTAGCAAGGCTAGCAAACTACTATCACTTAAAAGGGTATTTACTCAAAGAATATATTTATAATTCTACCACTTTAAAAACAAACAGGTTTGGCCCCATCTTGGGTTTGCTGTCCAGTTTTGGTCACCAATCCTCAGGAAGGATGTCCTTGAACTGGGGAGAGTCCAAAGAAGGGCAACAAAGCTAATAAGCGGGCTGGAGGACCTGGAGAGGAGGTGCTTATGAGGAGATATGATCACAATGTACAAATCTTTCAAAGGCGACTGTAGGGTCAGGGGAAAATTGTTTCATTTAAGGTTTTATCCAACCACACAATGAAGTTGGATGAGAAGAAGTTCAATTTTAAACTGCATAAGATGTTCTTTACAGTAAAGATGTGGAACTCCTTTTCACAGTTAGTCACATCAGTGGAGAGTGTAGACAAATTGTAAAATCTAATCAATTACATGTGTTCCTCAACCAAAACAATATGCAGGGATATAGAAATTGGTAATGACATATGCACTTACCAATCATTAAAAAACACAGTTTGCATCTGTTTAAGTTCAGCTCAAAAATATTTTAGGACTCATTTACACTACTGAATTGTGGGGAGCATTACAAGCATTGATGCAAGGCATCTTGCTGACAAACATGCACTGCAGTACAGAGAAACACATGCCAACACACTAATGTGAGTTGCAGTGCAGTGCTAAAAATGACACATGCACCTCTTTGGTGAGTTTTGGGGTGTTAAGCAGCCCATTCTAATGAATGGGCTGTCTGAAAGCAACACATGTTAAAATGCAGCATTACATGCATTAACGTGTGTAACACATCACAGTAGGGTGAATGGGCCCCTTTGAAATGATGATCTCTTGTTTTGGAATCAATTTTCCATTAGATCTTGTGATCCATAAAACACTTTTTAAATACTTTATGACCAAATGAGGATGTCCATTTTACTTAAACTGACACATTTAGTCATATTAACGTTTAATATGTGTGTTGTAAACTATAGTGCCATGAGGTTTAACTTTAATATTGGGTTTTTAAGCACTAGTGAGCAGGTTGTTACTTTGAGTGTCTATGAGTAATTGATCTGTAATAATGAGAAATTGTTATGAGTAAAGCTCTGTTACTGGTCCAGCTCTGAGGAAAGGAACTCATCCCTGAGACGCGTCAGAAGGCCGACCCTACACCCCGCCACTGTTATGGCCATCTCTACCATTCTACTAAGCTTTACATTTATTCCATGTTTTTGAGTATGTTTTCATTCTCTAAACCTTGGGTAATGCAGTAGCGGTTTGCACCTCCTGTTTGCTCTTTTTTCAGTTGTTTACTTCCCTATCTGAGGAGGGCAGCAACTCCGAAAGGCTATCCATACGCGATTTTGGTCCTGGCTCCCCTGGCTTTCCTTTTGGCATTTGATCCCTGGAGTGCTGGAGAGTTTTATTCTGTTATCAAAAGTCATTATAACTTTCTCTCCTGTCACTCTGCGGCCTCTGCTCCTATACTCAGAGAGTTCCACCTAAAGTGATGATGTCACGACCTTGCCTCCTTACGTGTTACATCCAATCAGGACTTTTTCAAAGAAACTTTGAGGAGCAGAGACTGGAGAGTGACAGGAAAGGAAGCTGTAATGATGCTAGAAAAAGGTTAGGCTCCCTTGGCAGATCTGGAGAGGGCCCAGTGATAGCCATCCTGTTAAAACTAAACCTACACCCAGATTTAAGCAGACCAACAACAATCCATAGCAACAAACGTTCAAGTGCCTTTGATTGGCACAACAAAAATCTCAGTCAACAGGCAGTAGCACAAAACCATGACATAGTTTAGCAATGGGTTGCATTAATATTCTTTGCAGCAATGAGCACCAACATCAAATTCTGGGCACTCAGAAAAAGTCCTGTTCCATGGTGTACTTCCTGTGGAAGACTACTGTTACATTCATGAGATTAAATTATTTTGTACTTTTGTTTAACTTTCTTGTTGTTGATTTCAAATTAAGTATATTACTATTAAGGGATTTTCCATTTTACCCTACAATTGAAGCTACAACAGTGAACCTCTCCATGTTGCAGAAATGCTGTAGTAGTTCCCATTTCTTTCATCTCTGCCATCTGCTCATTTCCATCAGTAGTTGTCAGGATGATCTGCCTTGTGCAGGAGAAATCTGAGGTTGCTTTCAATCCATGTCTATATAAATGGCATGGCTGCAATTCTACAGATCACATATTGCCTGCATTTAACAAGCTGACATAAATAACTGTAGGATAAGCAGTTTTGCCCTGCTTAGAATTTGTTGAGGAGATTCCCCTTCATTTTCTGCCCTGAAGATGCAACAGGACATGAGAGGAAATCTCCACAAAGTTAGGAGAATTTCCCTAAAATCCAATGGAAAATTGACCCCAATCTCCTGTTTTGGTGAAAACTCAAAATTTTGCATTTGACACCACATTCTATCTCAGTGGTAATGGTCCGGAGGACAAATAGAAATAGTAAATTTACCAAGCTGAGACACAAACAGCAAAAAAACTGACAGTGGTTCAAATTCCGCTCCATTCTAGCAAAAAAAAAAAATGTTTTTGGTATACTTACATTTAAAAAAAAATATGTAAGAGCTGTTATCACAAGGTGTCGGCTATAACCTATAGTATGTTAGTAATACAAACATTCTCTGATACTGATTGCACTTTATTATTAAGAGAGTAACATCTCCACTATGTTCTCATTGTATAGCAACACAGTGGTGTGTGGTTGAGCCTTGAAACCAGGTAAGTCAAGACCTTAGTAAAAAGGTGTGTACAGAAGAAGCTTTTCTTTTTTTAGTGTATGCTCTTTGGTGGGACTGGTTGAATTTTTAAATTGAGAGCTCAGAATCAAAAGTCTATTCTGCATTTGAAGTTAAAACTCCTTTTAAACATTCTGTACAAATACTTTAGATGTATAATTTATATAATATTGTTATAGTTTTAGACTGAAAAAAATAAAATAACAGACTCATATATTATGAAAATATCATCTGGCAAGTCAGCTAAATCACTGTCAATTCTAACCTGTTTTAAATTTTACTCTTAGCCTAAAAATGTTTTTTTTTTGTGCATAATATAAAAATATAATACACTCTGCAGCTCTAGGTGTTTTAGAATAATAGAAACACATCTACTTGCTTGTTCACAATGCATGCTTTTGTTAAATATACATTTTTATGTTGAATGTTGTCTTGTTTATATTAATATAGATTTCTAATTCTAAAGATACTCCTACACCTCTTGTGTTTTAATCACAGTGTAATTTGCATGTTAATGTGCTGGCACAGAGAAAAGTATGCATTTGGATGACATAGTAAGGTGGGACATAGATATAATTTATGCTTGTTCTGCACATTGATTATAAAATAAAAAAACAGTAGCCTGGAGAGCTTTTCTGGAATAGGTTCACTAATTAATAGATAAAAGGATTTCTTAACCCCAGAGCCATGAAGTGAAGTAATATCTCATACCATCTTTTTTTTCTAGCTCTTCATTGAGAGGTGTGTCTAAATTTATCAATCCACTAAACAGCTAAATAAATGTTGTGCTGCCAGGCATGCCAAACTTGCCAAAGCCCAGGATTACAGTAAATTGATCTTATGGTTCCCAAGGGAGCCAAGCCCACTTATTAAAACATATAAAAAGGTGTGTCAGAAAGACTTTTGGGTTCAGAGGGGCTCAGACTTCTTCCCTCTGCTTTTTGCTTCTGTGGTTCAACTTGTTAATTTCTTCCATATTCTGCTTCTCTACATTTGCTAAAATGAAGAGGAACCAGTCACTGGGCAGTAGGTCTGTAACAGGCAGCAGAAACTTTTCTTCTGCCTCAGTTGGTGCTGGAGGAGGTGGTGGTGGTGGTGGAATGAGGACCAGCTTTAGTTCATTTTCTGTGGCTAGAGGTGTAGGTGGTGGTGGTGGTAGTGGTGGAAGTGGTTATTCACATTCTGGAGGTTATGGTATGTCTTCCAGAAGCTATTATGATCTTGGGGGGTCTAAGAAAATAGCAATGGTCCATGGTAGCCGTGGAAGCACTGGTGGCTTTGGGTTTGGTGGTGCAGGTGGAGGTGGAGGTGGAGGTGGAGCAGGTTTTGGAGCAGGTTTTGGTGGAGCAGCAGGTGCAGGATTTAGGGGTGGATCAGGAGCTGGTGGGGGTGGAGGAGGATTTGGTGGACCTGGTGGATTTGGTGGACCTGGTGGATTTGGTGGACCTGGAGGATTTGGTGGACCTGGAGGATTTGGTGGAGGAGGCTTTCCTGGCAATGCCCAAGATTTTCCTCTATGCCCACCTGGTGGAATTCAAAATGTAACCATTAACCAGAACCTTTTAGCACCACTTAATCTGGAAATTGACCCAACTATTCAAAAAGTAAGAACAGAAGAAAGGGAGCAGATCAAGACTCTCAACAACAAGTTTGCATTGTTCATCGATAAGGTAAAAAATAAATTAAAAAGATTTTTTTAATAACTCTTATGTATGCTTTAGCTTGCATGGAATTGTCACCTTTAACTGTATGTCGGAATTTTAGGTCAGGTTTTTGGAGCAGCAAAATCATGTCCTCAAAACTAAGTTGGGCTTCCTGCAGGAGCATGGTCAAAAAGGGGGCACAAAAAGAAACAACATTGAACCCCTTTTTGAGGCTTACATCAATAACCTTAAGCGACAACTGGATGCATTAAATAATGACAGAAGCCGTCTGGAGGCAGAACTGAGAAACAACCAAGACATGGTAGAAGATTTCAAAAACAAGTATGCTTTCTCTTTTAGAACATTTTCTGATTTATCATATTAAACCTATATCTTCTTATCACTCAATAGTGTTGATTTGCTAAAGGCAAAAAGATTGATAACTTTGCAAGTGCACTCTGCAAGGGAATTATCCTCAGTGCTTAGTGAATGAGCTGGAGCTCTATTGACTTCAGCAGACTCTCATCATCCAACCATGTGCAACAATGCTGTTTTTTTCCTTGTACGTGATTGGATATTCTTTGCTTTGTGAAGCCTCACCTTAGCTAAGCTAAAGGAAAAATCCCTTGAAGAGTGTAACTTCACTTGGGCTTTGGAATTGCTAAAAATAACATATGCTCTTTAGTGACTCAGGCTGTTGGTATAATTTTCATTTTTCTAAATCTTTGCTTTCACATTTTTCTAAGGTCCTTGCTCTCTTTTCAAGGAAACAGCATGCTTTTGTGCAGTTAATTTTAAATTGTATAAATTTAGCCTATTAGAACAAAACTATTTTATTATATAACTAAATAAGCAATGCAAGATCAATTTAGAGAGTCTCTTTTCTAGAAAACTAGTTATTTTCAAAGTACATAAAGTTCCATGTTATTGATCAAAAACAGTTGGTGTCTATCCACTTTCTGCAATCCAGAACTCTAAAATAACAGTAAAGTTACTTACTCATGCAAATATGAAAACTTCACTCTGATAGGCCATATGTGTTTTATGTATTTGTACCAGGGCTGCTGGAAACATTTATCAGTGATGTCACTGATGCCCTGAAGCAAGCATACTTAATAATTGTACACTGAACACACGTGCAAAGGCTTGTTGGTTCACATCTTAGATGGATTTCCTCATTTACATGCATTGTGTTCACATTTGTTAGGTACCTAACAGACACTATTTTTTAATATCATGATGCAGGGAGCATTCTCATTAAGTAACTAAATAAATGAAATCAAACATAATTTTTTATTAATATTATAATTATAGTAAGCTGCTATCATGAATTGATTTGTGACTGTGGTTTAGGTTCCTACCTAACCTGTAAGAAATGGACGTTATACTTTATTTTTAGTAGGATGATTTTTCCTGACAGGAGTCAATCACAATTCACTTGGTCCCTTTTCCATTCTTTACTCTTTAAATAAGGACCTTGAAATTTTAATGTTTGTAAAGCAAATGAGAAGGATGTTCACTAGGATGTAACTGATGTGTCAACTGCATAAAACTGATTTCATATACATGTCCTAGAAATTAAAGTCCCATAGTTTTATTAAAAATATTGTTGTACATTCATGGTAATGTAAAGTGCAATTTGCAGTTATCCACAGCGATCAATCAAATCTCTGTTTAATAAGCTCTGCACTGCCTTACTCATAGTAAAGCCAGACATTGTGTCTCATTCCATAGCAATCAGTTGCCTTTACCTTGTAAAGAAGCATTGACTGACAAAGGGTGAAATGGCTGTATGCTAAGGCAATAGGATTTTGCTTTTGATATTGAGGTTGATGTATTAAAAGCAAAAAGGCTTTTCACTTTGCAAGTGAATTTTTCCTTGGCTTACTGATTGAGGATGATTCCATCATCCAATAATGTGTGAGCAAAAATACGTTTATTATTTTCTTTGCGTGGGATTGGGTATTCTTTGCAGAGCTGTTGAGTCACAGCTCTGTGTGTGAATGAACACGCAGAGCAGTGGCTAGGGAATGAGCTGCTTGGGTGCCCCCATAGCATGCTGCATGCTCTGAAGGCACTAAGCAGGGAGAAGGAGCTCGGAGAGCCGGCGGGGGACCCGAGAAGAGGAGGATAGGGGCTGCTCTGTGCAAAACCACTGCACACAGTAGGTAAGTATAACTGTGGGTTATTTTTTTTTTTTTTTCAAAGAAAATTGCCTTTATTATCACTTTAATTATTGTAGACTATTGATTATTATGGTAACACTGACGTTTTTTACATTTTTTTTATAGCAGTAATGGTTTGTTGTATGCCATTTCAAACAAAAGGGTATTGCACAGAGTTATGTAATTGTAAAAGGCACATTTTACCAGGTTAGAAAATAATCTTTTTTTAAATTATGAGGCTCTGTGCCATTCCACAGCTTTGGTCATTTTCATCCAGAGTAATTTCCTTTCCTATAATCTACTGCTTCTGTGTTTACTGCAGGTTAAAGTGTAATATTTGTATAGCTTACTAGGCCTTAGTTGTGGTGTTGGCATTAGTTTTGTCTTTCCAGGCTTTTTTTTCCTTTATTTTGCCCAATGAGTTGGCCAATAACACACTTTCAGATCTAGTATGACAAAGCTAACTCATCCTATTGTTTCAGGGTAACAGACACAGGATAAAATGATAGGATTCCACCCCTCTCCTCTTTTTCCAACATAGATGGGCGTGGTGTTGCAGTCCTCAGAGATACTGTAGCTAGGAACAATGTAACTGTTAAAATTCAGCACAGACATACAGCACAGGAAATTATCAGCTCACAATATTTCTAGTAAAATCAAAAGGCATTTTTTGCACTTACCAAACATGTATCACAAAAATCTTTAAACAGTTTATTTACCAGACCAAAAGGAACTAAGTAAGAGAATTTCAGAGTTATGGTTTACATACACTTTAAAAAGGACACAATTTTTTTGTACATTTTGTACATTTTAACTATATTATGCTTTCTGATAGATATGAAGACGAAATAAACAAACGCACAACTGCAGAGAATGAATTTGTGGTATTAAAGAAGGTGAGTAATGCTAAGTTAATAAAAAAATTATTGAAGAAAAATACCAACACTTGCAAATATTACTATATGTATTGTAGATGGTAAAACAAAGTTATTTAGTCGAAACAATCTTTACAATGTCCTAATAAGTTGACTATTCTATAGGATGTGGATGCGGCATATATGAACAAAGTGGAACTGGAGTGTAAAGTGGATCAGATAACTGATGAGATCAACTTCCTGAGAACTCTTTATGAAGCGGTAAAGTTGTCCAGCTTCCCCCATGAACTGCCTAGTGCTTTATCTATATTATACATGCCTCTTTGATATAAATGATACAAAAATCACAGCTAGTTGAACATTTTATGCAGAATATTGCCTGCTGCATAATCAGCTGACATAATGGCACACCCAGTTTAGATATAAACATCTGATAATTATTACTGTCTTCTAACAGAGTGCGTTAGATGTATGTTTATTAAGATGCACTTATAATTAAATCATTACAAAGAACTAGTTATGGGTCTGCAAGCTTTTACAAGCCTCATGCACACATACCGTAAGTTAAAGTTGACCTCCATGATAGCAAAGGGTTAAATATGTTGTTCCTCGGCAAACAACTACCTACACAGATACAATACATACAATATATGCTAGCTGTTTTACCTGCTAAAAGAATTGGTATTTCTGTCCATTCAGTTCTGAGGTTTACACAGCTTTGCCATACAGCACAGTCTTGTCAGGCAGAGCAAGAGACCTGGTTATTATTTTCTGTCAATAAATAACACTTACCCCTTATTATTATTATTATTATACAGGACTTATAAAGGGCCAACAGTAACACTTTACAATAAAAAGGGATGGTACAGCTACAATACAATCAAAACAAGAGGATTAAGAGGGTCCTACTTATAAGAGCTTACAGTCTAATAGGGTGGGGCAAGTGGTACAAAAGTTTAACTGTGGGGATGAGGTGATGGAAGTGATAAATGTCTATTCGGAGGCTTGATAGGCTTCCCTGAAAAAAATAGTTTTCAGGGATCGCCTAAAGGCAGCCAGAGTAGAGGATAGCCAGACAGATTGAGGTAGAGAGTTCCAGAGGATGGGAGAGGCTCTGGCAAAGTCCCGGAGATGAGCTTGGGAGGAGGACACAAGGGTGCTTGAGAGCAGAAGATCATGAGAGGAGCAGAGAGGACAGTTTGGGTGATACTTGGAGACAAGATTGGTGATGTAGCTCGTTGCAGAGTTGTGAATGGCTTTGTATGTTGTTAGTATTTTGAATTTAATTTGCTGGGCCTTGTCCCTCCTCCAGCCTTTCAGTGAACAGTGAAAAGAAAAGCAGCTGACTGGTTAAATCTCTGGTTCATATCTCTGTTAGTCTGCTCTCCCTCCCATCAGCATGCTCCTTGTTAACACATGAGCACTAACTACATCACAGCTGACTGGCTCCTTGTGCTGCTTCTCCCTCTCCCAGGCTGAGCTAAAGTTTACAGCGGCCTGCAAGAGGCTGATAGCAAGCAAAATTCTGGTGCTCGGATTGCCTGCATTTATAAAAAAAAAAGCATTTATTCAGCTATTAAATTGGTTGTAAAGGCTAGGCTTCTATGCATAAAGGTAAAAAGCCTTCTATGTGCTGCTCCCCCCACAGCCTCTCCTAATACCTACCTGAAACCCCTCTTGATCCAGCTCTGTGCATGGGAGCCTTGGCTCTCCTGGGTATCTCTCCCTTCTCATTGGTTGAGACACTGACCATTGGCTCCCACTGCTGTCAATCACAGCCAATGAGGAGAGAGCGGGGGGCGGGGCCAAGCTGCAGCTGTGTGTCTTTTGGTCGCATAGAGTGGGGCTCAAGAGCAAGCATGCATGAGTGCCCCCATAGCAAGCACCTTGCTATAGGAGTACTGGTCCAGGGAAAGAGTCAGGAGCCAAGAGTGCTGGTGGGGGGACCCGAGAAAAGGAAGATGGGGGCTGCTCTGTGCAAAACCATTGCACAGAACAGATAAGTACAGTTGCAAGAAAAAGTATGTGAACCCCTTGGGATTACGTGGAGTTTTGCATGAATTGGGCATAAAATGTGCTCTGAACGTCATGTAAGTCACAACAATAGAAGAACACAGTCTGCTGAACATAATACTACACAAACATTAGATGTTGCCATGGTTTAATTGCACATAACATGTAAACATTCACAGTGCAGGGAGGAAAAAGTATGTGAACCTTTGGACTTAATAACTGGTTGACCCTCCTTTGGCAGCGATAACCTCAACCAAACGTTTCCTGTAGCTGCAGATCAGACCTGCACAACGATCTGGAGTCATTTTGGACCACTCCTCTTCACAAAACTGTTTCAGTGTAGCAATATTCTTGGGATGTCTGGTGTGAATCGCTCTCTTAAGGTCATGCCACAGCATTTCAATGGGGTTGAGGTCAGGACTCTGACTGGGCCACTCCAGAAGGCGTATTCTGTGCTGTTGCAGCCATTGTTTTGTTGAATTACTTGTATGCTTTGGGTCATTGTCCTGTTGCATCCCCCTTCCTCTGCGGAGCTTCAGTTGGCGGACAGATGGTCGTACATTTTCCTGCAAAATGTCTTGATAAACTCTGGAATTCATTTTCCCATCAATGACAACAATCCGTCCAGGCCCTGAGGCAGCAAATCAGCCCCAAACCATGATGCTCCCTCCGCCATGTTTCACAGTGGGGATGAGGTTTTGATGTTGGTGTGCTGTGCCTTTTTTTCTCCACACATAGTGTTATGTGTTCTTCCCAAACAACTCAATCTTGGTGTCATCTGTCCACAGTATATTTTGCCAGTAGTGCTGTGGAACATCCAGGTGCTCTTTTGCAAACTTCAAACGTGCTGCAATATTCTTTTTGGACAGCAATGGCTTCCTCCGTGGTGTCCTCCCATGTACTCCATTCTTGTTTAATGTTTTCCTTATTGTAGATGTGTCAACAAAAATGTTAGCATGTGCCAGAGATTTCTGTAGGTCTCTAGCTGACACTCTGGGATTCTTCTTTACCTCATGGAGCATTCTGCGCTGTGCTCTTGCAGTCATTTTTACAGGACGACCGCGCCTAGGGAGAGTAGCAACAGTGCTAAACTTTCTCCATTTGTAGACAGTCTGTTTTACCGTGGACACATGAACATCAAGGCTTTTGGAGATACTTTTGTAACCCTTTCCAGCTTCATGCAAGTCAACAATTCTTGATCGTAGGTCTTCTGAGAGCTCTTTTCTGCGAGGCATGGTTCACATCAGACAGTGCTTCTTGAAACCAGTAAACCCAAAACAGGTGTGTGTTTAAGGGCAGGACAGCTGTCAGCAACACATCCAATATCATCACACTGATTGGAGTCAAGGTTGGCTCACTCCTGGCTCCAATTAGCTCTGGGAGAAGTCATTAAGCTAGGGCCTCACATACTTTTTCCTCCCTGCACTGTTGTTATGTGCAATGAAACCATGGCAACATCTAATGTTTGTGTATTATTATGTTCAGCAGACTGTGTTCTTCTATTGTTGTGACTTAGATGACGTTCAGAGCACATTTTATGCTCAATTCATGCAAAACTCCACGTAATCCCAAGGGGTTCACATACTTTTTCTTGCAACTGTATTATCATTATTATTATTATTATAATACAGGCTTTATATAGCGCCAACAGTTTAGGATGGGATAAGCTTGGGAGAAGTCCTCGAGGTGAGCATGGGAAGAGGTGACAAGGGAAGTAGAGAGCAGGAGGCCTTTGGGAGGACCAAAGAGAGCGGATTGCTCATATTTTGAGACCAGGTTAGTAATGTAGCTGGGGGCAGAGTTGTGGATGGCTTTGTAAGTTGTTCGTACTTTGAATCATATTTGTTATTAAAAAAAAATTAACCTTTAACTTCACTTTTATGAATGTAGAGCTGCATTAATGTGCGCTTTTTATATGTCCCTGGAGTTCTTCTTTGGAGTTAAAGTGTTACTAATCCCACAACAGTAAGATCAGTCTGCAAATATGCAGTAAAGCATGCTTGTTATACTCACTGTGGAACCTAAGGGGTTAATCCTCTACATTGTGTAAAAAGGCCGTTTGATCCTGACTTCTCTGCTCCTCCTCTTGTTCAAATGTCCATGTCTTATTTCCTGATAAGAGAGACTGAACCGTAGCCATTCGCACATGCTAAGTTTAGTGTATATTGCTAGAGAGATTTTTTTTTTTGGGGGAGAGTGCGGGTGATCAGCACAGGGCCAATCAGCACTGTCCAGAAAGAGGTCAGGGGTTCTATATCCTCCTAGAGCAGAAAGAAAACTCCTCCTACAAGCTTTAACCACTGCTCTGCTGGACACTGATAGAAGTCACAAGACTGCTCTAACTGCTGATGAGATTTGGTATTTTATATTTACTAAAATAATTGCACTTCCATGTTGTGTGTACTGTGGGAGATCAGATACAGTGAATGCAGGGTCCTGGGTTTAGTAACACTTTAAACTCCAGGCAGTTAAATCACAGCTGGAACACACACATGTAAGTTACTGTACCTGCCAAAAGATTTGCAATTCTGTTTATCCAGCCTTGTAATCTGGGCAACCTTAGCACATTACACAGGAAGATCCTGACACTCTTGTGACATCCCTGCAAACTACACTGCAATTTATCAATACAACCTGGTCTATGACCCATCCCAGCCTGTAGCTGAATAGTGAATAAGAATTAGCTCATTGATTAGATGGTCCCTTTGCTCTCACCTCTTGCCTGGAAGCTCTCTGTGTTAGACTAAGAGCTTTGCAAAGCATTAGAGCTTGATTGGATTATAGTCCCTTTATCTGAAGCTATGTAGAGATTTAGGCAAATTTGCCAGCTGTATGTATTTTATGAAATCATGGGGTTAAACAGTTATTTTTATATCTGCTTGGAATTCAACTTCAGTTTTTCAGGGCAGGCACAACTATCCTCATCCACACATGAATCCAGCCACAGAAACCCACTGGATTCTTGCTGCCTGTGAATGAGGATACCATAGCATCATCAGACATAATTCTTATCATTCAGCTTCCTTTAACAAATGAGTACAACCACACTGATTGCCTTTGCAGCTCTCTGCACAGCATCAAAATGCTGCAAATAAAGTTGGTGCTGGAGGACCTCCCTCTGCCAGTCACTGTGATTTCAGGTTTCAATAGAGAGAAGATAACTGCAGGGGCGGACTGACAACTCATGGGGCCCCCTGGGCAATAGGGGATCATGGGGCCCCTGTGTCCTTGCCCAAACTCAAAAAAGCCTATGAAAGAGGTACCAGGGGCATCTCATGGGCCCCCTACTGACCCCGGGCCCTCGGGCAGTGCCCGAGTTTCCAAATGGTCAGTCCGCCCCTGGATAACTGTAATATGCCCAGCAGTGCCTGCATACTGCAAGTCCCACGCTGATTAAGGCCTAAGCCTAGGTTCACACTAGTGCTGCTGAATAAACGTGTTTTTTAGCGTGTTTTTATGTGCATTTTTATGTTTTTGTTTTGTTGTTATATGAGGAGACTGGTGGTTAAGCACAAAACCATGCTAAAAACACAAAAATGTGTTTTACATTGGCTCTCATTGAAGTCTATGGGCCAAAAAAACACAGGATGCTGCACCTTTTCAAAAATCACACTGCACCATGTTGCATTGATGTGAATGGGCACCATAGAGAATAATGTGATTTACAGTGTTGTTCATTACAATGCAATGACATATGCAGGAGAAATTGCACTAGTGAGAATGGGGATAATTGGGAGAGTATAATATATATTGTTATTATTGGCCTTGGGGCAAATGCTTCCCTTTTACCTCCAGCCTAGTCCACCCCTGCTTACAGCTATAAGGCCAACATGAATAATTTTTAAAGTACTATAAGATTTTGAGTAGTTTAAACCTGCAGTGTACTAACATTATACACACCCAATATAAATTATATTTTATTCCTGTAACAAAAATAACCCTCTGGCTAAAGGAAACTGACATACATAAATGCATAGACATAATTATGCCACTTGCAGGTTTATATTGTAACTTTTTCTTTGATCTTTTGCTAAAGTTCTGTGCACTCTTGTGTATCAATTTCAGGAAATGAATGACCTTCAAGGGCAGATTGCGGATACCTCTGTCATCTTGTCTATGGACAACAACAGAAGTCTGGATCTCCAGGGGATCATTAGTGAGGTTAAAAATCAATATGAAGAGATTGCCCAGAGGAGCAAACTTGAGGCTGAAAATGCTTATGCGATGAAGGTAAGTAGGAAATAAATATGAACACCAGATTTACTCTAGGAATTGTATGTCATTCATACTGGCATCATCTAAGGTCTACTAATTAGTGCTTACAGTGTGCGGTAAAATTGTGTTTGGTGAAAGGACATACTATAGAAAGGGCAAATCCGTCTTCATCTGTGGTTGAATTTCCTTAGAGCAGACCATGTTCATCTACTTGTAATAAATTTGGAAAAGCCGATTACCAAATTATGCCAAAAATGGGAAATAGAAGTTTAGTACTTTAGTGCTACTAGTAGAACTATTTGAGGTGTAGGGGATTGATTGTAAGTGGTACATCTGCTCTTTTTCCTGATAGGAGCCTCTGGTCATATGACTGGCCTTGAGGAGATGTCTGGAGACACTAGTTCTCATCATGTCTGTCACCAATGTGCATAATGATTACAAAGTTGCACAAACGTTGCCATATTATCTCCATAATAGGCCTACAACCATATAATTTTTCAGGCTGAGGCAGTTGTGGCAAATGTCTGCCTTTGCTCATCTCCAATAAATGGTGGATTGATTGGACTAGTAGTTTACACAAGAAAGATACAATTGTTTGTGCTTTCTTTTAAGCCCAAAGGAGGCAACTATTTCTAGCAAGATCTAGCAAGGTATTTTCTGTACTTGATGAAATTGTCCTTAGCTTGAAATATGTAAACTAATGCAGCCAACACATTTAAGGAATTGTAAATAGACCCTGCTTCAGACAAATAGTGTGACCCCACAGTACACATTAAATTTCACTCTATATTGTAGGAAAATAGACGGAGGGGCCTGAATAGTTACTAATGGGTTATTTAAGAGATTATGTATTTTCACAAATGTCTATTTTTGTATGCATTGCAGCTTTTGGGCACATGTGGTATATTTAACCTTATTTTTGACATGTCTTTTTCAGTTCCAGCAGCTAAAAGACACTGCAGGACAACATGGCAATAGCCTAAAATCCAGTAAGAATGAGATAGCTGAGCTGAGCCGAGCAATCCAGAGACTAAAGGCTGAAATTGAAAACGTGAAGAAACAGGTGAGCTATCACATATATTACTTTGATGAACTGTTCATGGATCTATCATTCAGAAAAGATTACCATTTGTACTATATTTTAGAACTAAATGACTGCTTTGGTTTTGCTAGTGTGCCAATCTTCAGACAAGTATCTCAGAAGCTGAAGAGCGAGGTGAGCATGCTGTAGCTGATGCCCAAAAGAAGCTTGATGAACTCCATACTGCACTTAAAAAGGCAAAGGAAGATCTGGCAAAACAGATGCGTGAGTACCAGGAGCTAATGAGCGTGAAGCTGGCCCTGGATATTGAGATTGCTACCTACAGAGCATTGCTGGAAGGAGAGGAGTGCAGGTGAGTGTTAGTAAAAAACCCTCAAAGGGTTGGCACATATTGCAGAATTCCCCACCGCAGAAGCATTAGCTGTAACAGAAAGAAGGGCTATTGATGAATATATTTTGATGGCTGCACCCAGTCAGGCACTGCTACCAGTGCTGAAACTGTAACTGTTTCAATAGCTAGCAATTTATGATAATGTTATGGTTGGAGTCTTTACTTACACCCCAAGACAAAAAGAAAACTTTAGAAAACTTAAAAAAATACATATTTGGGGAACTGGAGCACTCATAATCTGGTGCAGCTGTTGATGGTAGCCAATCATCTTCTAACTTCAGCTTGTTCAATTAAGCTTTGACAATAAAATCTGGAAGCTGATTGGTTTCTATGCAGAGCTGTATCAGATTTTGCATGCTCCAGTTTTAGTAAATCTCCCCATTTGTGTCTTAAAGATGACATATGTTCTGAGAATCTATAATGTTTTGGAGTTATTTAAATGTATGAAAATATATTGTGTTCCTATATCAAAGCTACAAATAACTACATCTCTTGTCACTGTTATTTACAGGATGTCTGGAGAAATTGTGAATCCTGTTAATATTTGTAAGTATACAGAAACTGATTTGTTAAATTTTTGGTAAAGTTCTGAGCTTAAAAATATAATGCAAATATCTCTCTCTACAGCTGTGGTGAGTGGATCCACTTCATACAATATTGGAGGAGGAGGAGCAGGAGGAGGAATGGCCATGGGAGGCGGTGGTGGAGGAGGATTTGGAGCTGGTGGTGGAGGCGGATTTGGAGCTAGTGGAGGAGGCGGATTTGGAGCTGGTGGTGGAGGCGGATTTGGAGCTGGTGGTGGAGGTGGATTTGGAGCTGGTGGTGCTGGATTTGGATCTGGAGGTGCAGGATTTGGAGGTGGAGGATATGGAGTTGCAGGTGGTGGATATGGAGGAGGTGGAGGATATGGAGGAGGATCTTCAATGAGTATTGGAGGCGGTGGGGGAGACTACGGTGTTGGAGGTGGCAGTTTCAGCTCTGGAAGCAGACAAGGCGTGGCCATCATCTCAAAAACATCTACTGCATCTTCATCCAGAACAACATACTAAACACAGCTTAAGCCACATATCTTCAACCATATTCTTTTCTTGTCTGCTAAAATAGCTTGGCTTCTTCCATAATTCACCATCCTGAAACCACAGTTGTACACACAATCATATATGGTAACTGCAACAAACCATTCAAAAATGGTTTCCAGGTACCAGCTTCCATTATGTTAAGTTGAAGTTGAACCACATACCTTATCTGTTTTGACACAGAATAAAGGGTTGCATAACCCTTCTGCCACCATCATTGTATCTGATCACCTGTCAGGGTTCCTACAATAAACTTACATAAAATATAGACATTAGCACAAAGAAGAAGCACAGCTGGACCCATGTGTGCGTATTCTGCCCACAGGAAGGGAGCAATGAAAAATACCAAAGATGTCACCCTACCACATATTTTTGTAGAAGAATTCAAGTTATTACCACATGCCTACAATACTTCCATATAGCTCCAGAGCAAAAAACAGGTGCTGTGTGAAAGTGTATCCTCCCTACCCTGTCTGGTATAATAGTTGAAAGAGACAAACATACCATACCTCCTTCAAATTGAACTCATGTATTCAGGGGATAATGACCACATTTCATTAGACCATAGAGTTAAAACTAATAAACCAAATATTGTTTGTTATCTTTATGATCTGCAAAGGTGCATCCACATTAGCAAAAAACAGATGACGGTTGTTTGGAGCCATTACGTTATGTAAATCATACCACCCATGCATGAACAATAATAATTTCCTATGCTATAGTATACATAAAATGTATGTTCATATGGGATTTTTTTTTGAGGGATGAAAACAATATGTACTTTTCTCTGAACTGCTCATGTCTATGCTGTACCTTTCCATTTCTCTAGCTAAAGTTTTGTAAATCTTGAGCAAGCCATGATTGTTGACAGTTAATTGGCTCTATTCTGAATGGTAAAGACCATGAATTAATATTGTATGTCTTTCTACATGTGTATAGTGTATAGACACTGTACCATTTTTTTTTTAAAATATGCCCAGTCTATAAAGAATTGTTATTCCTTTTGGACAATGTTAAACTTCCGAACTGTCTGTGCTGTTGTCTAATAAACTGCATTATTAACTCAAATTCAGTATGTATTGACTATTAGTTGGTTTCACCTTATATTTATATTTCTGGTCAATAATAATAGAAATGCAACATGTATGATACCTAGACTGTGGTAGACATTAGGGTAGGTCAGATTTTAACAAGAAATGGGATAATAACATCAAATGGTTTAATAGGCCTCAGTCAGAACTTTAATTTGCCATATATAGTTACATAATAAACACGGGCTGGAATTGACAGTGGATCCACTTGCTCAGCAGGGGATCACTCCACTGATCCCCGCTGAGCAAGCGGATGACAGGTCCATGTTTGCTCCGATGCTGCAGAGCGGACACAGACACAGCCCGCAGTCCGCTATGGGCATCCCATCTGATCCGATGGACAGAAGGGAATGGATCCCCTTCTGTCTCTTTTTGGTGAATCAGATTGGATGTCGGAGGTGTAAATGGATATGTGTCCATTTACATCTGCCGCTCCATAGAGGAGAATAAAAAAACAGGCAGGCAGAGCCGATCAGAACGTCCGTGTGAAAGGGGCCTAAAACCGAAGAGTGCAAAATCTGGTGTAGCTCTGCATGGAAACCAATCACCTTTTTTCATCAAAGCTTAATTGAACAAGCTGAAGTTAGAAGCTGATTGCACAGCTTCATCAGATTTTGCACTCTCCAGTTTTAGTAAATCAACCCTTAGGGGTTGCTTTCATGACTTCAAATCTTCATTTTTGGAGAAGTCTTGGTTCTGGGAGGCAAAATGCAAATGATGTTACTTTAACACATTTTATTTTTGTATAAGAGTGAGTTTAACATAAAACATATTTTGCCTTACTTTAAATGTTCTGCATGATACTCACAAGCCATATAAAATTGTATAAGTCATCAGTCCTAGCACAAAGGAACACTCAGTTGATCTTTGTCGCACCAACATTTCTTTAATTTTTTATTCAACATGCAGGTTATAGGCATTGATGTTCTTGGCTATACTAACCACTGTGTGCCCAATTCAGCATGCATCTTTTAGATTTGGACAGAATGGTAGAAGTTAGAGCCAATATCATGTGCAATAAAAAGTGAGGGTAAATCTATAATTCTGTTTCCGCAGCACAGGAATAGAGGGGGGGGGTCTTCTAAAAGGGGTGATCTCATGACAAGGCAGGAGAGCATTTCTATCACATTGGAAAGATGTGTTCTCCCTTCTTGTTGAGTCTACAGAATAGAAAGTGAAGGGAAATCTCTTCAGTGAAACACAGATGGCAAATAAAAAACTGAAAGTGGTTTAAAGTCTGCCCTATTTTAATAAAAAAAAACTTTGGCCTTAGATATACTTTAACATGTGTCAGCATGTATATACCATAGCATTACAATGGGAAGAACATCTAGTGCCAGTAACTATTAATGCTGATCTTCAGACAAACTTAAAGCGGAGTTCCACCTAAAAAAAAAAAAATAAATAAAAGTCAGCAGCTACAAAAACTGTAGCTGCTGACTTTTAAAATACAGACACTTACCTGTCCTTCGGTCCAGCGGTGTCTTCACCACCGCTGGTTTCACCAGCTGTCTTCTCTCCCTGGTGCTGGAATCTTCAGTGTGTACACCCGGCTGTTACAGCTTGCGGCTTCACAGCCATGCGCAAGAAGTGTTGCGCTTTGTGAATGGCCGTATAGTCTTCTGGGACCTGTCACGTGTCCCAGAAGACTACGGGAAGGGGGGACAACTTCCGCTTCTCTGAGTGTGAAGTGGGAGCGGGTACCTGTCAAATTCGGGTACCCGCTCCCCAAAGGTGCCAATCCTTAATAGGGAGGGAGGCACAAAAGCTTAAAGTGGAACTTCCCCTTTTGGGTGGAGCTCTGCTTTAAGACATGCATTATAACTTGATGTTGCTACGTATTCATTAATACATAATTGAATGTATTATTTTTAAATGCAGAAAGTGTAAGCACTTGAATCTGACCTGCTATCAGCCTCTTGCAGTTCTCTGCAAATTTCAGACTGGGAAAGGGAGCAGCAGCACAAGTAGCCAATTAGATGTGCTAATCAATAATACAAGGTGCAGCGCTAAACCCTAAATATATAACATATATAAAATTGAAATAAATATAAAATAAATATATAAATAAGTGATCTAAAAATCTGTGCAAATGTGCAAGTAAAAATTGAATAAAGTGCAATACGTGTATTCCCACTGGGAATATTCAAAGTGCCAAAGTGCAATCAATCTATCAAAATCACTCAAATATAAATCACCACTCAAAATAAGTCCATATATAAATAGTGTCCAAAAAAGCGAAATCTTCATGCATGTGATGACAAGTGTTCACACTGTGTATATCCAAACAATGGCTACAATGGCCCCTCACCTCCTTACATTGACCCCACAGGGTCAGCTCGCCTTAAGATAAAACACCACTCTGATGTGTCACCGGATCCTCCCCAGAGTTATACACTCTGTCAGCAGCTTCCTCCCCGTTTCATATATAAACAGAAAGCTTTCATAGTGTAAAACCGTAATTTATTCAATCCATTTGTAATAAAAAATGCCCACTCACATTTTAAATCTTCATTATCTGGCTCCTATACCTCATGCTATGAATGCCTTGCATGGGTGTTTGATATAGGGGTTTCAAATATGGCCACCACGCTGGAAATGACGTCACCGCGCTCCCAGAATCCTCCTCGCGTACCGACGCATTGCGTCACGATAGACACGTGACTTCCTCAGGGAACCCAGAGAAGGAAAGAGAAGAGGCAGGGAAGGAAAGAGAACATGTGGATTTTGGGACTGGTTTTTCCCTACTATACTGTGTGGCAGGGGCAGACTGACAACTCATGGGGCCCCCGGGCAATAGGAGATCATGGGGCCCCTGTGTCCTTGCCCAAACTCAAAAAAGCCTATGAAAAAGGTACCAGGGGCATCTCATGGGGCCCCCTACTGACCCCGGGCCCTCGGGCAGTGCCCGAGTTTCCAAATGGTCAGTCCGCCTCTGCTGTGTGGATAGTTCCAGCAATGGTCTGTTTGCATATATCTACTATGAAGCATTGCTTGAATTTTTCCTACATTACCATATTTTGCACTGCAGTAAGCTAGCATTGTGATACTTCACAGGATGGCTAGAAACACCTAACTGTGCCAATGACACTCAGAGAATAAATCAGTACTGTCTATGGTTTGGCAAAGGTTGTGCAATGCTTTAAAAAGAAAGTTGGTGCTACATTCACTGATAGCATTGCCATGTAAAAAAAATTGCATTTACCCAGAAGTCCTTTCACCTTTTGGAGATGATTTTTGCCATGCAATTTAGACACACCTAAGTAAAACACTTTACATAGTTAGAAAACCTTGCATAGCTAGCACACCACACCTGTTGCAGGAATTTCAGAAAAAAATGTACGTTGCTGTTGCCCTGAAGTGTGTCATGTCTGTTTGATGGATTAATCATTATTTTAAGGAGTAGCTGAAAATTGC